GAGGAAATGTAACTGTTTTAATAACTGCTCGTCGTCAAACATTTCAAGAACATTCTTCCTCTCCTGAAAGATTTGCACACATCTCTGTCTCCTTAGCGCCATCACAAGCCCCTACTGGCAAATCCTAACCACTTGAGAGACCTAACTGGGAGAGTAAGAGTGATTCTTAGCTTTAAGAAATGTGATAACTTGCTTTTATACTTAAGTTTGAAAGCAGGAGTAAATTTAATGAATTCTCAGCACTTAAGACTAAAATGGCACTTTGAGAAGCTTGATAAATACGGGCCCAGGTTTTCATTAAGGCCATCTCTATATTTTGGTGCATTGAGCTTTCCTTCTGTTCTGACAAGTCCGTCAGCCTCTGCAGTTAACCCCCCCCCCCTCCTGTTTTATTCCAAACATGACGCATGGAATTGAGGTTCATCAGACCAGAAAATATAGTTTCGCACAGTCTAAAATTCCTTTAGGTGTTTTTTTGCACATAAAACCCACTTGGAACTTTGCCAATTTAATTTTGCAAAGTGGGTTTTCATGTGTCTTCACTGAGGGGAGGATTGAGTTTGGCCACACCACCATAAAGCCCAGATCGGTGGAGTGCCTTCAGAGATGTTTGTCCTTCTGCAAGTTTCTCCCATCTCCATATATGATCATGGATCTCAAATAGAATGACCATCACTATTCTTGATCGCTTCTCTGACCAAGGCCCCTCTCCATCGATTGCTCAGTTTAGCCAGGAGGCCAGCTCTAGGAAGAGTTCTGGTTGTTCCAAACTTCTTGCATTAAAAATGATAGAAGTCACATTCGCATGTGAACCTTCAGTGGATCTGTGTTTTCTTCGTCTTCTTCTTCTTCTTCTTCTTTTGTAATCTTCCCCAGATCTGAGTCTCAACACAATCCCTTCTCTCAGCTCTGCAGGTCGTTCCTTTGATTTCAAGGCTTGCTTTTGTTCTGATATGCATTATCAGCTGTTAGACCTTATATAGACAGGTGTGTGCCTTTCCAAACCATGTTCAGTCAATTGAATTTAAGTCAAAGTACAGAAACATCTCAAAGATGATCCAGCAATCATTTAGATCAGGGGTCTCCAACCTTTTTTAGCAAGAAAAAAATATTTTATATCATTGTAAGTTTGCTTTCCATTTATTACTTAAAGCACAGAGAATGAGAATGCTGAGACAGGTATTTTGACATAATTGTATGTGTATGTATATGTTCAAAGGCAAGGAGACATGAAAGAGGAATTAACTCGGTATTAGTGCGCTAGTTTTCATTTCTCTTTCACAGAAAACAGAGCGTGAGTAACAAATCTCTTTCGCCTCTTCTTGCACTGGAATGGTTTAAAATCGCTTGAATATATAAACTGGCAAATTAATCTGTGAATCATATGCATGCCGAACGTATCATGGATCAACTGGGATCCATTTAACCCCTTATACATATGACAGATCAGAACAATCATTTACTTATTGAATATTTAATTTACATGAAATCGTCAAATTGCTACTCCATATGAATCACATACAACAAACAAAAATACATAATAATTAGAACAATCAATAACACACAATAAATAACAGCGTGTCATATCTATACACATTTTTCCCAGAATGTTCTTGCGACCCAGTAGCAACTCTTCCACAGGGTCGCGACCCGGTGGTTGGGGACCTCTGATTTAGATCATCGAGCAAACTGGAATGTTATATATTTATGGTTTATATTTTGCCTTATGCTATATGAAATGTAGACCGATGTGGGGAAAAAAAGTAATTGAAAGTAGTTTAACATAAGGCTGCAACAACTAAATGTGAAGAATAAAAAAACAGTTAAGTATGAACACTTTCGCAATAATGACTGTATCATCAGCTTTAAAAGCTTGAGGCTGTAAAATTGTGTCAGCTAAGTACTGAGTTAAGAGTATGAATGCTTATGCCATGCTATAAGTTTTTCCTTTTTAAAACATTTGCAAAGTTGTGACAAATCTGTTTTTGCTTTGTCATGGTGTACGGCAGCAACACAACAAAATGAAAAAAAGAGTATGAATACAGTGCTTTCGCAAGGCACTGTATATTATACTTACATGTACTTACAGTGTACTTAAAGTGTACTTACCTAAGAAAGTACTGGTAATATAAGGTAACTAATTGGAGTAGGGTTAGGTTTAGGGGTAGGTTCAGGGTTAGTACCTAGTTATTACCTAGTTATTGTAATAACATTAATAAGTACATAGTATGTACATGAGGAACAGGACTGTAAAATAAAGTGATACCAATATTTCAAATTTAACAAGTGGATGCAGTTTCTTAGTGCAACAAGTTGCTGTTCTCCCAATGTGTTCTTGTACAATGATCTTTAAATTGTGAGGATATCATACTCTTAGAAAGTGAGCAAGCCAATCAGAAGTTTGACTTTTGGAGGGAAATTAATAAGGCTTTCATACTGTTTGCTGTGGTCCGAATCTGTGTCTGATTGTTCCTGGCACCCCTGCAGTGCTGGTCTGCTTTTTTAGACTCTTGTAGGGTATCAGAGTGAATCAGACAATTTAAGATTCAATCAGATTGGTGTTGAACAACCCAAAAAGCCAAATTCCACAAAGAGGCCCAGGATAACAAGACAATATCATAAATCTGTCCACGATACCCTGGCGCCACGAGTCTGAAGCAAGTCCACTAACTAGCAGCTTTGAACAGCTTTCAACATTAACACAAAAGAACACATTGATAATTTCAACTCAGGAAGGAGATTGTCAATTTTGGGGCAAGAAACGTCTCGGTTACATATGGTAACCCTCGTTCCGTGAAGGAGGGAACGGAGACGTCACGTCGGATGACCGACGAATTGGGATCTCGCTTAGAGAGACCAATC